AATCGTGGACCTTAACATGCGATGTTTCGCCAAAGGAGCTAGAACCCATTATGACCTACAAATGCCAATTTTCAGACAAATCTGCGAAGAAATGTGGCAAAAACCATTAACATGCCGAATACCGGGAGGTATCGTTATATGGGGGCTATACCAAAGCGTGGACCTATACATGCAATGTCTCGCCACACGAACTGGGACTCGTCATGACCTACAAATACCAATTTTCAGACAAATCCGTGAAAAAATGTGGCATAAATCATCAAAATACCGAATATCGGGAGGTACCTTTATATGGGGACTATACCAAAACGTGAACCGATATATCTCATTTTCAATACCAACCATCCTAGACACAATACAAATTGCTCTGCTAAATTTTGGTGCTCTACGTCAAATAATGTCGGCTGTATCGTGATTTCAACAGACAGACGGACAGACAGACGGTATATACTTTATGGGGTCTACCTTTCCAAGGTGGAGGGTATAAAAGTGGAGGGTAAAAAAGTAAAAGAAAAAAATAGACTCAAAAAAGCTAAAGAGTGGCTTCGCTTGGCCGAAATTGGTGAACTGGCGAATTTGGTTTTCCGTCTCCGTCTGAGAAAACATTCGTCCCCGATGAAAAACCATTCGTTGTCCAGCAGTTTGTAAACAAACAAAATTATCGTGTTTACTTGCCTAAGAGGTCAGCTGAAAATGTGCACCTTCGGTTGGCCAGCAGAACTCAAGCGCCGGCCATGGTGATGGTGAGGGCCGCCATAACAGCCGATGGTCGCTCTCCGCTCATATTAATCCACCGTGGCATCAGAATAAATGCCGAATATTATCGCGAAAGTATTCTGCAGGGTGTATTAAGGCCTTGGGCACGCAAACATTTTGGCCGCAGACCTTGGACATTCCAACACCTTCGGTTGGCCAGCAAAACTCAAGCGCCGGCCATGGTGATGGGGTGGGCCGCCATAACAGCCGATGGCCGCTCTCCGCTCTCCGCTCGTATTAATTGACCGTGGCGTCAGAATAAATGCCGAATATTATTGCGAAAATATTTTGGAGGGTGGATTAAGGCCTTGAGCACGCAAACATTTTGGCCGAAGACCTTGGACATTCCAACAGGACTCAACATCATCGCACTCCGCACACGCCACCCAAGAATTATTACGAAAAGGAGGTTCCTCGCTTCATTTTCAGCGCACAATGGCCAACAAAATCTCCGGATTCCAATCCGTTGGACTATTGTGTCTGGAGTATTTTGGAAAGCAAGGTTGGCACTAAAAAATACCAGAATGTCGTTCACATCAAGCAAGCGCTTCGCCGGGAATGGGCCAATATACCGCAGAGTAACATTCGGGCAGCGTGTAACGGTTTCATTGGCCGTTTGAAGATCGTAATTCGGCAACAAAGGAAAGATCAGTTATAGATCAACCTTTCAGTTATAGATTATCCTTTCATATTTATAGCGCTGATGGTCCTTGAAGATATATTCCTAAAAATCTCTGATTTTGACTTTTATGGTCCTTGGAAAAATAATCTTAAAAATTTAAAAAAAACGTCCTGACTATTGATGTGTGAGTTCTTGAACAAATATTCTTTAAAAATCCACGACTATTGCTCTGTGGGTTCTTGAACAAATATTCTTTAAAATTTAAAAAAGTCCTGACTATTGATCTGTGGGTCCTTGAACAAATATTCTTTAAAAATCCACGACTATTGCTCTGTGGATCCTTGATAATTCGATAATTCGTGCCAAAGGTGACCAATTCGAACAAATCTAAACTTATTCTAAAATTTGATGCTATTTACGACATTTTTTGCTTTCATTCAATAAAATTCAAAAAAATTTAAAAATTATGGCGTTTGACTTTGTTGCAGTTTTTTATGTCACCCTGTAGACCTACATTTTAATTTTCTACAACAAATCCCTTATTTAGATTTCCAAATATCAAATCTGAACTTAAGTTTTAAGATCTAGAAAAATATCACTTAAAACCCAATATCAAAACTTTTGTTCCTTAATAAAATTTTGAATTCCCGTCCCTATGACACACCCCCTTCCCCTCCCCATATTTCAAAACAAATACTACTTTTTTTTTGTAAATAAATATATTCTATATTTTACGAGTATTCAAAATAATATCATTTGTTTATTTGTTGACAACACCAGATTTCTCTTCGATCCAGTCCAAGTAGGAGGTGACACGGGTGAATACACCGGGCCAGCCCTTTTCGCAACCCAAGGCAATACCAAAGGAGGTGGCACCAATAACAGTGTTGACACCATCGTGCTTGTAGACCAAGGGACCGCCGGAGTCACCATTGCAGGTGGATTTGCCACCCTTGCTGCTGATACAGATCATCTTTTCGGTAACCATACCCAAATAGTAGGTCTTGCAGGTGCTCAACTTCATGACTGGGACTTCGATGTAACGCAACAGTGGGGAAACAGAGGTGGCAGCATCACTGTCCTTACCCCAGCCGGAGGCCCAAACCATATCACCTTCATAGGTCGAGTAGTGACCGTCCATTTTGGGCAAGGCGGCGGGTTGGATGCGTTCATTGAATTCAATAACAACGGGCAATTTGATCAGGGAGATGTCATTGCTCAAAGTGTTGGGATCCCAGTGTTCGTGAACAATAATGTTCGACTTGGAGGTGTAGATGCGTTGTTGGCCCTTTTCATGGTCGTCCTTAATGTCAATGGCGCCCAAGTAGACAGTAACACCATCAGCACCATCGGTACAATGGGCAGCGGTCAGGATCCAACGGTCGGAAATCAAGGTACCACCACACCAGGCACCCTGGTTACCGAACACCAAACTCAAACCAACTTGGTAGGGGAATTGACCGGCCTTGGCCAATTCACCGTTGGTGATGCGACCCTCCAACTCCTCCATGGGCATAACAGGCACCAATGGAAGGCGTTGTTGGATTGGTGGCAAAACGCCGGCCGAGGCAACGGCCACAAATAAACTTAGAGCGACAAAAGCTTTCATGGTCAGTAAATTGACTACTGTCCCGAACGATTTGGTGGCGGAGTTTATATAGGAGTTATTTTGCTTCCGTCCAACTACCAACAACTTTACAACTACACTAGTTTTTTATCTTATCCACCAGCAATCGTCCAAAATATTGGCCAGCCCCAAAAAATAAATATTAAAACGCATTCAATCAAAATTTTAGATTGTTTGCAAGAGATAAGGTTATCGGAGGCAACTTTGATTTGCTGGGATTTCTGGTGTTTATGTTTTCTTTTTTTTATTGGAGGGGAGGTTCAAGCTTATCGGAGGTTGGTTTTGTTTTTGTTTTTTTTTTTTTTTTTGTTATTGGGAGGTGGTTAATATTGCAACTGAATATTCTGTGAAATGTTAAGCTAATCGGCAGCAAAGCAAAAATCAGTTATAGATTATCCTTTCAGTTATAGATTATCCTTTCATATTTATAGCGCTGATGGTCCTTGAAGAAATATTCCTAAAAATCTGCGATTTTGGCTCTTATGGTCCTTGGAAAAATATTCTTAAAAAATACTAGACTATTGTTCTGTGGGTCCTTGAAAAAATATTCTTTAAAAATTCTAAAAATTGTTCTGCGTGTCCTTTAAAAAAATTTTAAAATAAAGTACTGACTATTGATCTGTGGGTCCTTGAACAAATATTCTTAAAAATCTTAAGAAAAGTCCTGACCATTGTTCTATGGGTCCTTGAAAAAATATTCTTAAAAATCCACGATTATTGCTTTGTGGGTCCTTGGAAAACTATTCTTTAAAAATCCACGACAATTGCTCTGTGGGTTCTTTAAAAACTCACGATAATTTCTCTGTGGGTCCTTGAAAAAATATTCTTAAAAATCCACGATTATTGCTCTGTGGGTCCTTGGGAAAATATTCTTTAAAAGTCCACGACAATTGCTCTGTGGGTCCTTGAACCAATATTCTTTAAAAATCCATGACTATTGCTCTGTGGGTCCTTGAAAAAAATATTCTTTAAAAATCAACGACTATTGCTCTGTGGGTCCTTGAAAAAATATTCTTTAAAACTCCACGACAATTGCTTTGTGGGTCCTTGAAAAAAAATTCGTTAAAAATCCATGACTATTGCTCTGTGGGTCCATGAAAAAATATTCTTTAAAAATCCACGACTATTGCTCTGTGGGTCCTTAAAAATATTCTTTTAAAATCCACGACTATTGCTCTGTGGGTCCTTGAAAACATACTCTTTAAAAATCAACGACTATTGCTCTGTGGGTCCTTGAAAAAATATTCTTTAAAAATCCACGATTATTGCTCAGTGGGTCCTTGAAACAGTATTCTTTAAAAATCCACGATTATTGATCTGTGGGTCCTTAAAAAAATATTCTTTAAAAAATCCACGATTATTGATCTGTGGGTCCTTAAATAAAAAATAAAATATTCTTTAAAAACCCAATATTGCTCTGTGGGTCCTTGAACAAATATTCTTTAAAAATCCACGGCTATTGCTCTGTGGGCCCTGGACAAATATTCTTTAAAAATCCACGAATATTGCTCTGTGGGTCCTTGAAAAATAGTCTTTAAAAATACACGGCTATGACTCTGTATTTGGATCTGATTATGGATCTGTTGGTCCTCGAAAAATATTTCTAAAAAGTGTCCATTTTGGCTCTGATGGTCCTAGAAAAAGTACTCTTTAAACATCATAGATAACTTGACAGATGGTCCTTATCCTTAAAAATTCGCAGAAGTCCAGTTGATCTTTTGCCCCGTCTTTCCTCAACAGAAAAACCCTGATCCGATTTCCTAGAATTCCCCAAAACAACAAAACCCAATTCGCCGCACGGGACGATAACATAATTATCAAGCCTATACTCTTATGTTTTGAACAATGCGTTCGCTCGACCTGCACTGACCAATATTTTCAATTGGATTTGTTTCTAGAACAAATGGATAAGATAAAAAAAAACCGCTGGCATTGTTGTTCTACTTCAATTTTGCAAACATCGAGTAGTTTGCTATAAATATTCCAGCACTGCAGCTGGGCAAGACAGTAGTCAATTTATTGACCATGAAAGCTTTTGTCGCTCTAAGTTTATTTGTGGCCGTGGCCTCGGCCGGCGTTATGCCACCACTCCAACAACGCCTTCCATTGGTCCCGGTTATGCCCATGGAAGAATTGGAAGGTCGTATTACCAACGGTGAATTGGCCAAGGCCGGTCAATTCCCCTACCAAGTTGGTTTGAGTTTGGTGTTCGGTAACCAGGGTGCCTGGTGTGGTGGTACCTTGATTTCTGACCGTTGGATCCTGACCGCTGCCCATTGTACCGATGGTGCTGATGGTGTTACCGTCTACTTGGGCGCCATTGACATTAAGGACGACAACGAAAAGGGTCAACAACGCATCTACACCTCCAAGTCGAACATTATTGTTCACGAACACTGGGATCCCAGCACCTTGAGCAATGACATCTCCTTGATCAAATTGCCCGTTGTTGTGGAATTCAATGAACGCATCCAACCCGCTGCTTTGCCCAAGATGGACGGTCACTACTCGACCTATGAAGGTGATATGGTTTGGGCCTCCGGCTGGGGTAAGGACAGTGATGCCGCCACCTCTGTTTCCCCATTGTTGCGTTACATCGAAGTCCCAGTCATGAAGTTGAGCACCTGCAAGACCTACTATTTGGGTATGGTTACCGAAAAGATGATTTGTATCAGCAGCAAGGGTGGCAAGTCCACCTGCAATGGTGACTCTGGCGGTCCCTTGGTTTACAAGCACGATGGTGTCAACACCGTTATTGGTGCCACCTCCTTCGGTATTGCCTTGGGTTGCGAAAAGGGCTGGCCCGGTGTATTCACCCGTGTCACCTCCTACTTGGACTGGATCGCCGAGAAATCTGGCGTTGTCAACAAATAAATGGTATAAACTCGTTGATTACTCGTAAAAATAAATCGTTTGAATTAAAATTTTCCTGGAGTTGTTATTGCTTTTGGGTTCTTGAAAACATATTCTTTAAAAATATTTAAATATTGGTCATGAGGTCCTTGAAAAACAAAAAAAAATAAAATTCCAAAATTATTGCTTTGTCGATTCTTAAAAAATATTATTTAAACATCTATGGATATTAGGCCTGTGGTCCTGTGGATATTAAGCCTGAGTCCTTGAAATAATATTCTTTGAAAAATCTACGACTATTGCTCTGTGGTCCTTGACAAAATATTCCTTAAAAATCCACTTTTATTGTACTGATGGTCCTCGAAAATAATATTCTGTAAAAATCCACGACTATGGCTCTGTGGGTCCTTGAAAACATATTCTTTAAAAATCCACAAATATTCCTCTGTAGGTCCTTGAAAAAATATATTTTTTTTTTAAATCCACGATTATTGCTCTGTGGATCCTTGAAAAAATATTATTTTAAAATCCACGACAATTACTTATTGGGTCCTTGAAAAAATATTTTTTAGAGATCCAAGATCGTTGCTCTGCGGGTCCTTGGAAAATATTTTTTTTAATCCACGTTCCTGGAAAAAATTTTCTTTAAAAATCCACGACTATTGCTCTGTGGGTCCTGGCATAAATATTCTTTAAAAATATATGAATATTGGACTTGGGGTCCTTGAAAAAATATTCTTTAAAAATCCAAGACTATTGCTCTGTGGGTCCTGGCATAAATATTCTTTAAAAATATATGAATATTGGACTTGGGGTCCTTGAAAAAATATTCTTTAAAAATCCACGACTATTGATCTGTGAGTCCTTGAAAAAATATTCTTTAAAAATCCACGACTATTGATCTGTGGGTCCTTGAAAAAATATTCTTTAAAAATCCACGACAATTGATCTGTGGGTTCTTGAAAAAATATTCTTTAAAAATCCACGACTATTGATCTGTGGGTCCTTGAAAAAATATTCTTTAAAAATCCACGACTATTGCTCTACGGGTTCTTGAAAAAATATTCTGTAATAATCCACGACTATTGCTCTGTGAGTCCTTGAAAAAATGAGAAATCCTAGATTGGCTCTGAACACCCAAATTTAAACTCCGATTCTGTTAATGTCTGCAAATTTATTTCAATTTTTTTTAAATTTAAATTTTATAATCCAATAACAATTTAGTTATTTACAAGACCCGATTGCTCTTCAATCCAATCCAAGTAGGCGGTGACACGGGTGAATACACCAGGCCAGCCCTTTTCACAGCCCAAGACAATGCCAAAGGATGTCGCACCAATAACAGTATTTACATCACCCTCCTTGTACACCAAGGGACCACCGGAATCACCATTGCAAGTGGACTTACCATCCTTACCGCTGATGCAGATCATCTTTTCGGTAACCGAACCCAAATAATAATTCTTGCAGGTACTCAGCTTCAAAACGGGTACTTGAATGTAACGCAACACAGGTGAAACACTGGTGGCAGCATCACTATCCCTACCCCAGCCAGAGGCCCAAACCAATTCTCCCTCATAGCTGGCATATTGACCATTTTTCTTGGGCAAAGCGGCCGGTTGGATGCGATCATTGAATTCAATTGGCACTGGCAATTTGATCAAGGAGATATCATTGCTCAAGGTGCTGGGATCCCATTCCTCGTGGACAACAATATTCTTCTTGGAGGTATAGATACGTTGTTGACCCTTCTCATTGTCATCCTTAATGTTGATGGCGCCCAAATACACGGTAACTCCTTGAGCACCATCCGTACAATGGGCCGCGGTAAGAACCCAACGATTCGAAATCAAGGTACCACCACACCAGGCATTGCCATTACCAAAGTTCAAACTCAAACCAACTTGATAGGGAAATTGACCGGCTGAGGCTAATTCTCCATTGGTAATACGTCCTTCCAACTCCGAGGCGGGCATCAGAGGTAATATGGGCAGGCGTGGTTCCATGGGCGGCATCATGCCAGCCGCTGCAACGGCAACAAATAAACTTAGAACTGCAAGGAATTTCATGGCGAAATTGTAACGAAATGTAACTGTTCGAAATTGCAGTGCAAGACATTGCTTTTATAGGGGAAATTGGTGGTTTTTTTCGATTGCATTCAGAGGTCATAAATCTTTGCCGGTTGGCTGTAAAGGTATTACAAGATATTGTTATCTATCACGCTGAGGTTTTTTTTTACGTGGAAGCTATTGACCAATGGGCAAAAAAATGGCTAATTAAAAAAATTGATTCCACGGGAAACGGTTATCGCTGGCCTGTTATAAATAATTAAAATAATCCGCTTACAGCGCAGTAAGAGGTGGAATAGATTTATCAACAAATGTTCAACTTCGTAAAAATAAATTAAACAAGTAAAATTGCTTGTTCTGTGGGTCCATGCAAAAAAATCTTTAAAAATTGAAGACTATTGTTCTGTGGATCCTTGAAAAAAAAATCTTAAAAAATCCACGATTATTGGTCAGATAATCCTTGAAAAAATATTCTTTAAAATTCCACTATTATTGGTCCGATGGTCCTTGAAAAAATATTCTTTGAAGATCCACGATTATTGCCATGTGGGTCCTTGAAAAATATTATTTAAAAATCCACGAGTATTAGTGCTAGGGTCCTTCAAAAAATATTCTTTAAAAATCCACGGCTTTTGTTCTGTGGGTCCTTGAAAGAATATTCTTTACAAATTCATGAATATTACTCCTGGGGTCCTTGAAAAAATATTCGTTAAAAATCCACGACTTTTGCTCTCTGGGTCATTAAAGAAATATCCTTTAAAAATCCACGATTATTAATCTGTTGGTCCTCGAAATAATATTCTTTAAAAATTCACGAATATTAATCGGAGGGTCCTTGAAAAATATTGTTTAAAAATCCACGAATATTACTCCAGGGGTCCTGGAAAAAATATTCTTTAAAATTCCATGACTTTTGCTCTCTGAGTCCTTGAAGAAATATCCTTTAAAAATCCACGATTATTAATCTGTGGGTCCTTGAAAAAACATTCCCTAAAATATCCTCAATTGTTGATATGTGCGTCCTTGGAAAATATTTCTTAAAAAGCCACGACTATTGCTCTCTGGGTCCTTGAAAAAATATTCTTTAAAAATCCACGATTATTGCTCTGTGAGGCCTTGAAAAATAGTCTTTAAAAATCCACGATTATTATTCTGTGGGTCCTCGAAAAAATATTCTTTAAAAATTCACGAATATTAATCGGAGGGTACTTGAAAAATTTTATTTAAAAATCCACGAATATTAATCCTGGAGTCATTGACTATTGCTCTGTGGATCCTTGAAAAAATATTCTTTAAAAATTCCCGACTAGTGCTCTGTGGGTCCTTGAAAAGAATATTTCTTAAAATATCCTCGATTTGTGGGTCCTTAAAAAATATTCTTTAAAAATCCACGACTATTGCTCTGAGAGTCCTTGAAAAAATAATACTTCAAAATCCTCGATTATTACTCTGTTGGTCCTTGAAAAAATATTCCTTAAAATATTTATGAATAATTAAAATATTTTCGATTATTGCTCTGTGGGTTTTTGAAAAAATATTCTTTAAAAATGCAGAATTTTTTTTCTGCGGGACCATGGAAAATATTCTTAAAAATCTACGACTATTGCTCTGTGGGTCCTTGTAAAAATATTGCTTAAAATATCCCTGTTTATTGACCTGTGGGTCCTTGAAAAAATATGCTTTAAAAATCCTCGACTATTGCTCTGTGGGTCCTTAAAAAAATATTTTTTAAAAATCCACGATTATTACTCCTGTAGTCCTTGAAAAAATATTCTTCAAAAATCCACAACTATTGCTCTGTAGGTCCTTGAAAAAAATATTCTTTAAAAATCCACGACTATTGTTCTGTAGGTCCTTGAAAAAAATATTCTTTAAAAATCCACGACTATTGCTCTGTGGATCCTTGAAAAAATATTCTTTAAAAATCCCCGACTAGTGCTCTGTGGGTCCTTGAAAAAATATTCTTTAAAAATCCAGGACTATTTCTCTATGAGTCCTTAAAAAAATACTCTTTAAAAATCCAGGGCTATTGCTCTGTGAGTCCTGAAAAAAATATTCCTTAAAAATCCTCGAATGTTTCTCCTGGAATCCTTAAAAAATATTCCTTAAAAATCCACCAATATTACTCCTGGAATCCTTGAAAAATATTCTTTAAAAATCCACGACTATCGCTCTGTGGGTCCTTGAAAAAAATATTCTTTAAAAATCCAAGGCTATTGCTGTTTGGGTCCTTGAAATAATATGCTTTACAAACTCACGATCATTACTCCTGGGGTCCTTGAAAAAAAAATATTCTTTAAAAATCCACGAATATTAATCGGAGGGTCCTTGAAAAAAATATTCTTTAAAATATCCCTGACCATTGCTTTGGGGGTCCCTGAAAAAAGTATTCTTTAAAAATCCCCGACTAGTGCTCTGTGGGTCCTTGAGAAGAATATTCCTTAAAATATCCTCGATCTGTGGGTCCTTAAAAAAATATTCTTTAAAAATCCACGACTATTGCTCTGTGTGTCCTTGAAAAATATTATTTCAAAATCCACTATTATTTCTCTGTTGGTCCTTGAAAAAATATTCCCTAAAATATTTTCTGTGGGTCCTGTGGGTATTACTCTGTGGGTCTTTGAAAAAAAAATTCTTAAAAAATACAGGATGCTCTGTGGGTCCTTAAAGGAGTATTCAATGCAGCAAGAACTGCAACAAATGTTGAAATATTCGAAAAAAAAAATAAAATAATTAGCCTGTGGCGCCCAACATCATCACATTATAAAATGTCCCCAGAAATGCCTCTAATAAATTTTTTAAATCACTGAAATTTAAAATTTTGAGCTTTTTTGTGTGAGGCTCCAAATTGAACCCATCTCGAACTCGAAATAAGTTTGATACTAATATTATTATGTGCCAAGTTAGGATAAAATCAGGGTATCTGATTTCTAAACCATAATCGACCTGCTTCATACTCATGCCCAACAAAAATTATATTATGCAACAAATAAAAAAAAATCTACATCACCATTTTCACAACCTATCTGAAAAAGAAACAATATTCGAAGCAATATATACTTGAGATTTCCCATTGTTATTGGATAATATATATTGAAAGGTGCTTTTAGGCGATTGCACGTCCGCACCCATTAATAAAAGAGGCAAAACAGTAGCCGAATATTATTATTAACTTGATAGATAAACATAGACTTCATCAGCGATTTTTAAACATTATAAACAAATCACCACGTAAGCAGCCACTTGAAATGTTGAAGAATATTTGCTGATATTCAAGCGACAATGACTACTCCAGATATTAAGGTCATTAAAAAAAATAAATAAATCTAGAATACATAGAGAAGAATTGCAAAGTAAGGTCAATTGGCCAGTCCGAGTAGACAAGGCTGTAGGAAAAGAAAATTCGACACACAAAGACAACACGAATGCCCAATTCTAGGCAAAAATTATTAAATGCATATTTGAAAAAATAAAAATCAAAACACTTCATGGAAAAGAAGCCCGATAATCATTAGAGAATGGTGATAATCAAAAGAGATAATGACAGACCTGTGACGCAGTTATATGTCTACTGCAACTTATCTATTTTTTTTTAAAGAACCAGAGATTATCGTATGATTCTAGTCTAGTCGCCTGACTAGAAAAGTTTTGCACATTTTCAATTTAGAAATGAATTCGATATCATAACGTGCTGCATTGATTTATTGGATTGTGGTATGGTCATTTCAATACTTTTCTTACAAATTGGGCAAAAAAATCTCTGGAAAGGATGGTTGGTTTATATGGGGGGCTTAAATTTATATTTATTGAGACTTTTCCAAGGGTCGGCCGGGCCTAACCTTTATATCTTCCATCCTTTGGAGAGAACCAGCAAAATATAAAAGGAGTCAGCTGAAAATGTGAAAAAAACAGAATATCAAGTCGGAAGGTCAAGTCAGATGATTAACATGTTAGAGATAATTCTGTTAAAAAATATAGCTACAATCATCAAAATACCGAAATATGGGAATTACCGATGTCGTGAGGATTATGGGGTCTATGCGAAGACGTGGATCAGCACAGGCAGTTTCAAACACTTTTAGCCAAAAATTGTGGCTTTTTATACCCCACACCACAAGGTGGCCAGGGTATTATGCCTTTGTGCATTTGTTTGTAACAGGCAAAAGGGAACAAGATAGACCATAGTTCCTTTTGATCTGCATAGAATCACATTCTGGGTCGATTTATGCATATCCGTTCGTCCGTCTGTCCATGTCCATGTATTTTTGTAAAAGTACAGGTCGCATTTATTGCCCGATACCGATTAAATTTTACACAAATCATTTGTTTGATCCAAGGATGAACCCTATTGAAAGATAATCGGTCAAAATGTAGATCTAGCTCTCATATCTTCATATCGGTTCAGATATAGCTATAGCTCCCATATATATTGTTCATCCGATTTGATATTTTTGTCCTTCGCAGCCGTAATATTTACTCTGTAACAACGATTTTTGGGGAAACATATCAAATGCAGCACAGAAATACCTTTCCCAAATTTTATCGAGATCAGTTCAGATTTGGATAAAGCTCCATATGCCATTGTGCACAAAACATGTAATATATGTCCAAATGGGATGGAATTTGGCACTTACGACCAAATTGAGCTTAGAAACAAGTATGCCCAATTTGGTGAAAATCTGTTCAGATATAGCTATAGCTCCTATATATATTGTTCATCCGATTTATTATTTTTGTCCTCCGCAGCCGTAATATGCACTCTGTAACAACAGTATTTGGGGAAATATATCAAATGCAGCTCAGAAATACATTTGCTAAATTTTATCGAGATCGGTTCAGATTTGTATATAGCTCCCATATAAAACTTCGTCCGATTTACCTTTTATTGTGCACCAAACGTCTAATATTTTCCCAAATGGGATGGAATATGGCACTTATGACCGAATTGAGTCTAGAAGGTAGTATGCCAAATTTGGTGAAGATCGGTACAGATATAGCTATAGCTCCCATATATATTGTTCATTCGATTTG